AGCAAGAAAGAGAGTGACAGTCGGACTGGAAGCACGAGCAAGGTCGGAAGGAGGGTCAGCAACGTCAGGAAGAGAAGACGCAGGACGTGACGGAAGGACAACATGCGGTGGAACAGAGGAAGGACGGAGTGTCATATCGTGAGTGCCTGGGACAACTGGAGCACGAGGACAACGCACACGTCGAACACGAGCGGGAACAGAAGCTCTAGTCTCAGTCTCTCGACGCTCAGGGGTGGAAGCACGAGTCTCAAGCTCTCGACGCTCAGTCAGGGACTCTGTTACCTCAGTGTAAGAAGCAGGAGCAGGCAGTGGGGAGTGAGGCCGTAGCTGTGGCTGAGACTGGTCTGTCGATGGGAAAAGTAACGGAGGAGTGGAACTCAGTAGGAGCTGGCGGAAGACCGAGAAGGTGGCCAAGCGCACCAGCAGGTCCTCCAGCACTCCCAGCAACAGCTCCAGTACCTCCAGTACTAGCAGCTCCAACACCTCCACCACCACCAGCACCTCCAGCACCTCCAGCACTAGCAGCACCTCCTACACCTCCAGCACCTCTAGTAGTAGCAGCTCCAGCACCTCCAGCACCAGCAGCACCTCCAAGACTAGCAACTCCAGCACCTCCAGCACCAGTAGCACCTCCAGTACCTCCAGCACCAGCAGCACCTCTAGGACCTCCAGCACCAGCAACACCTCTAGTAGGACCTCCAGGACTGGCAGCTCCAGCACCTCCAGTACCTCCAGCACAAGCAGCACCTCTAGCACCTCCAGCACCTGCAGCACCTCCAGTAGTAGCAGCTCTAGCACCTCCAGCACCTACAACACCTCCAAGACTAGCAGCTCCAGCACCAGTAGCACCTCCACTACCTCCAGCACCAGCACCTGTAGCACCTCTAGGACCTCTAGCATCAGCAGCACCTCCAGTAGGACCCCCAGGACTGGCAGCTCTAGCACCTCCAGCACTAGCAGTACCTCGAGTACCTCCACTACTAGCAGCATCTCCAGCACCTCCAGCACCCGCAGCACCTCCAGTAGTAGCAGATCTAGCACCTCTAGTACCTCCAGCACCAGCAGCACCTCTAGTAGGACATCCAGGACTGACAGCTCCAGCACACGAGACTGTCGTGGCGAGGCACCCGCAGGACCTCCGGCAGACACAGTACCTACCCCTAGGCTTTGCACCCACAGACTCCGCACCCTCAAACTCAGCACCCCCAGGCTCCGCACCCTCAGTCTCAAGACCCTCAGGCTCCGCACCCTCAGACTCAGCACCCCCAGGCTCCGCACTCGCAGGCTCAGCACCCCCAGGCTCCGCCCCCGCAGGCTCAGCACCCCTAGACGCAGCACCCCTAGAAGCATCACCCCTAGCAGCACCACCCCGAGCAGCACCAGAGTCTACAGTGACCTCGACAGGCTCAGCCAGGTGGAGTGGGTCTACCTGATACAAACCTGAGGGAACAGGACCCTAGGGGGGAGGGGGTCTACCGGAGGGGGACGTGGCGCGAGGAAGAGCGGCGGGGGGGGGGAGAGGGGCAGTGTGGTAAGAGAAGAGATGGTAAAAAGGAACCGACTCGTCAAACGTGACGTCCTGAGAGGGCACGACACGGCGCGAGGTGGGGTGGTAAAACTGCCAGCCAGGCGCGTCAAGGGGAAAGCCAAGGAAGACGCAAGGAATGGTGCGGGAGGAGAGCTTGTCCGCGGAAGTATCGCTAACCTTCCCCGTCCAACGCAGTGTAGGCGAGGTCTCCGGCGAGGAGACACGGGGCCAGAGGTTGAGCTGATGCGCAGCATGTCGGACCGCAAACGGCCACAAAAAATGGGGAGCAGCCGCATGGATCATGGAGGTACGAGCGACCTCCATGACTAAGCCAATGCGGCGCTCGGCAATCTTTTTTTGCCGCGGGGGGGCTGCAAGCGTGAACGACTGGAGGATGCCCTCCCCACGAGAAAAGTCCCGCAAGAGGTCGGAGGAGAACTCACCACCTCTGTCAGAGTGCAGACGCAGGACAGGAAGGTCCTCGCGGAACTGGAGACGGACTGCGCGGATCCAAGGGATCAAGACATCAGGGACCTCACCCTTGCTGCGCAAGGGGAAGACCGTGGTGTAACGCGTGTAGTCGTCAACAACCAGCAGAAAGTGGCGCTCGCGGCCCTGTCCACTGACGCGGGCTGTGCCCCACACGTCCATGTGGAGTGAGGAGCGGCGCGCTGCCGCCCCTCGACGCAAAGAAAGCAGGGCGGGAGGGGAGGCAGAGACCTGGGAAGACCAGAAACAAGGAGGCGGGAGTGCATGCCACGAAGGCGTGGCAGGGGCAGTGACCAAGGCGGTGGTGCCAAAAGAGAGTCTGGTACGACAGGAGGCGACACGAACAGGGGGCGGCTACCAGACCTGACGCGGACACCTGACCAGAAGCAGCTACATGAGCAGGCTCAGTAGTCAGTGTGTACAGACTCGACCCAGGCCGACGGGTGAACGTGGCCAGGTGACGGCCCGTCCGTGTACATGTGCAGATCGCCACACGCTGGCCCCCAGTAATGGTGGCAGTGACCATCGCATCCTGGAGGGCAGCGGTACTCACCAAGTTCGTAGAGAACGAGCGGAGGTGAAGACCTGACAATGAGACAGACGGAACCGCCGGACACGGGAGAACAATGGTGGAACGTGCAAGAACTGGGCCCCCTGAGGGGTCAGTCAGTCGGACTGGAACAGGTGCAGGGAGTGGAGTGAGGGTGGTACTGTCACGAAAGAAACAGCGGGAAGCACCTGAGTCAAGCGTGAAGGTGTGCAAGACCTCAGCAGGCGCAGTACCAGGAAGGGCAGACTCACTAGCACCTAGAGCAGCAGCCTCTATACATGGGTCGGGCGGCACCCACAGGTAACAGTCACCCTCAGCACTAACGGTCAAGGCATACATGGTAGCAAGGATAGCATCATAGTCAAGAGCAAATATATCAACTCCAGACCTAAGCAGCTCTAGCCAGCGGGGACGCTCAGCCTCGTCGCCAAAATCTGCGCGCCAAGCGTCGTCTAGGCGGGAGAAGCAGCGGTGCTGTGTGTGAAACTTCCCGCATGTCTGACCAGCATGGTCACTTGTGCGAATGACATACGGGCAGCGAACACTACCCCCAGACGCCCCACGCTGAGCAAACCACTCACGAAGCTGCTGGGGCGTAGGGGTCTCGCTCGGACGCTGCTCTGCTGCTGCCTCTGGCCACCGCCAGAACCTCCCCTCTGAACAGCTCCACCCCGACCGCCACCACTGCCGCCGCCACCACTCCCACTGCCGCCACCACCGCCACCACCACTCCCACCGCTGCCACCACCACCGCCACCGAAGCCCCCACTCCCGCCACCACTCCCACCGCCACCTCCGCCACCTCCACCGCCTCCACCGCCTCCACCGCCTCCACTGCCTCCACCACCACCACCACCCCCGCTGCCACCTCCACCACTCTTGCCTCCCTTGCCCTTGCCGCTGCGGCGCTTCCCACTAGGAGCAAAAGCAGCCCCGACCTCCTCATTACCAAGGATGTCAACAGCAGCAGCAGAAGCGTAGGAGGGGGCAAGGGGGGAGGGGGAACACCCCTCAAAGAAGGGTGTGCGAGGAGTGCCACAAGCAGCACCTACAGCGACTATGTTAGTCTCAGCTGCAAGGAGGTGCTTCTCGAACAGGTCGACAGTGAGGTCTGTAGGGTCAAGTGCGAGAAAGTGGTCTCTGACTGCGCAAAGAGAGTCAGGGAGGCGGGTGACTATGAAGTAGAGAGTGATGTACATCGGGTGCGGGTTCTTGTCCAGGAACTCGGCTTTGAGGGCAGCGCGGTAGCGAGTGTCGCTAGAGCGAATGTGGGTGATGAGGTCCTCGACTGTGGCAAAGGCTGACAGCTCGGGAAAAAGGTAGGGGAGTATAAGGCGGCCGAGAGCAGCAGTGGCAGGGGAAGAGTAACGAGCAACCACAGCGTCGTACAGGGCTTTAACAGTCTTGTGCTCGCCAGAATGAGCGCGTTCGGCTAACGGCAGGTGATTGCGAACTCCTAAACGAGCAACAGCGTCACGGGTAAGCCACTGTGAGCTGTGTCAGCTGTGTCAGGAGGGGTGAGAGAGGCTCCAGACGTGTGGTCAAACAACGAAACGCTGTCTCTAGAATCGCTCAGTAGGTACAGCTGTAAGTCATCGAGCCACGTATCGAACTGGATCGGACGGCCCTCATGATCGAATGTGAGAACGCTGAGAGTAGCCATAGTGGGCAAAGCAGGGGGGCACGCAGGCAACAGGACGGCGTGACGGGCAGGGCAGCGCGCGGGCACTGAGGAAGCGCGCGTGGGCAGGGCAGGGCGGCGGCCAGCAGGGCGGCGCGACAGCCAGCAAGGCGGCGCGTGGGCAGGGCAGGGCGGCTCGGCGGCCAGCAGGGCGGCGCGCGGGCAGGGCAGGGCGGCGCGGCGGCCAGCAGGGTGGCGCTCGTGTAGGGCAGGGCGGCGCGGCGGCCAGCAGGGCGGCGCACGGGCAGGGCAGGGCGGCGCGGCAGGCGGCAGGGCGGCGCGCGGGCAGGGCAGGACGACGCGCGGCCAGCAGAGCGGCGCGCGGGCAGGGCAGGGCGGCGCGGCAAGCGGCAGGGCGGTGCGCGGGCAGGGCAGGACGGCGCGCGGCCAGCAGGGCGGCGCGTGGGCAGGGCAGGGCGACGCGCAGCCAGCAGGGCGGCGCGACGCTCAGCGCAGGGCGGCGCGCGACAAGCTAGGCGGCGCGACGGGCAGGGCAGGGCAGCGCGCAGCCAGCAGGGCAGCGCGACAGGCAGGGCAAGGCAGGGCAGCGCGACTGGTAGGGTAGGGCGCTACGGGCAGCGAACTAATCGGTGGGCCCTAAAAAAATGGTCTTGGAACAGGACCTGCTCTCAAACCATGTCAGAAACTAGAAGAGGGGATGATTGCATTGAGTAAAAAGTAGGTACAAGTACTAACCCTAATTGAGTTGTACCCCTTCTGAGCTACCCCACTACAGCCTACACAATATAATTTTATAACAGTTTGACAAGAGGGTACGTGAGAGGGTACATGAGAGGGTGTGAGTGGGTGTGTGAGAGGGTAGCACAGGTGATGCATTGAGCAGTGCAGCTCACTTGGAACCGATCATCCTGCAGCACGGCCTTCTCGAACAACTCAGCAAGCGCCACGTGGCGCCTGATGTACGCCCGGATCCCCTCCGCCCTGTATGTGCACAGCACCATCCACAGCTTCAGCGACCTGCTCAATATGGGGGAGAGGGGGGGGGGGGGGGGGGGGGGGGGGGGGGGGGGGGGGGGGGGAGGAGAGGGGGGTGGCTTTTTAGGAAGGGGGGAGCTGGTTCGTACGTGCGCAGCACCATCCACAGCTTCAGCGACCTGCAAGGGAGGGGCGGTGGGTGGCAGTTGTGGCGTGGGCAAGGGCATGGGTATGGGCATTGCATGTGCATGGACATTGCGTAGGCATTGGCATGGTAGTGAGCAAATTGGACAGAGCGGGAGTAGGCTTAGAAAGGAAAAAAAAACAAATTAGCCAGAGAGAAGGAATTGAAATGAATATGGATCGGGGATTTGAGAATTGTATGCAAATGGCATGAGACAAACCCACTGCATGCAGCCATGGCAGGCAGGTGCATGAGGGGAGGGGAGGGGCACACCTGAAGCGGCGGCCAATGGGGATCTCCCAGTCCTTGTAGTCTACCACGTGGTGATTCTCTGATTCCTGCCATGCAGGGAGAGAGAAGAGGAGAGGAGAGGGTAGGAAACGGAAGGTAGTGTGTGTGTGGATGCACATGAGTAATCTGCGAAAGAGCATGGTGAGATAAGAGCATACTGTGATAAGGGCGTACAAGAGCACAGTGCAAAGTAAGAGCTTACTCCGATGAGCACTACAGAGCATACGAGCGCACTACAAAGCATACGAGCGCACTACAGAGCATACGAGCGCACTATAGAGCATACGAGCACACTACAGAGCATACGAGCGCACTACAGAGCATACGAGCGCACTACAGAGCATACGAGCGCACTACAGAGCATACGAGCGCACTACAGAGCATACGAGCGCACTACAGAGCATACGAGCGCACTACAGAGCATACGAGCGCACTACAGAGCATACGAGCGCACTACAGAGCATACGAGCGCACTACAGAGCATACGAGCGCACTACAGAGCATACGAGCGCACTACAGAGCATACGAGCGCACTACAGAGCATACGAGCGCACTACAGAGCATACGAGCGCACTACAGAGCATACGAGCGCACTACAGAGCATACGGAGCGGCACTACAGAGCATACCCGAGCGCACTACAGAGCACTACGAGCGCACTACAGAGCATACGAGCGCACTACAGAGCATACGAGCGCACTACAGAGCAATACGAGCGCACTACAGAGCATACGAGCGCACTACAGAGCATACGAGCACACTACAGAGCATACGAGCGCACTACAGAGCATACGAGCGCACTACAGAGCATACGAGCGCACTACAGAGCATACGAGCGCACTCCAGAGGCATACGAGCGCAACTACAGAGCACACGAGCGCACTAAGAGCATACGAGCGCACTACAGAGCATACGAGCGCACTACAGAGCATACGGCGCACTACAGAGCATACGAGCGCACTACAGAGCATACGAGCGCACTAAGAGCATACGAGCACTACAGAGCTATACGAGCGCACTACAGAGCATACGAGCGCACTACAGAGCATACGGCGCACTACAGAGCATACGAGCGCACTACAGAGCATACGAGCGCACTACAGAGCATACGAGCGCACTACAGAGCATACGAGCGCACTACAGAGCATACGAGCGCACTACAGAGCATACGAGCGCACTACAGAGCATACGAGCGCACTACAGAGCATACGAGCGCACTACAGAGCACACCGAGCGCACTACAAGCATACGAGCGCACTACAGAGCACTACAGAGCATACGAGCGCACTACAGAGCATACGAGCGCACTACAGAGCATACGAGCGCACTACAGAGCATACGAGCGCACTACAGAGCATACGAGCGCACTACAGAGCATACGAGCAGCACCTACAGAGCATACGAGCGCACTACAGAGCATACGAGCGCACTACAGAGCATACGAGCGCACTACAGAGCATACGAGCGCACTACAGAGCATACGAGCGCACTACAGAGCACACGAGCGCACTACAGAGCATACGAGCGCACTACAGAGCATACGAGCGCACTACAGAGCACACGAGCGCACTACAGAGCATACGAGCGCACTACAGAGCATACGAGCGCACTACAGAGCATACGAGCGCACTACAGAGCATACGAGCGCACTACAGAGCATACGAGCACACTACAGAGCATACGAGCGCACTACAGAGCATACGAGCACACTACAGAGCATACGAGCGCACTACAGAGCATACGAGCGCACTACAGAGCATACGAGCGCACTACAGAGCACACGAGCGCACTACAGAGCATACGAGCGCACTACAGAGCATACGAGCGCACTACAGAGCATACGAGCGCACTACAGAGCATACGAGCGCACTACAGAGCATACGAGCGCACTACAGAGCACACGAGCGCACTACAGAGCATACGAGCGCACTACAGAGCATACGAGCGCACTACAGAGCATACGAGCGCACTACAGAGCATACGAGCGCACTACAGAGCATACGAGCACACTACAGAGCATACGAGCGCACTACAGAGCATACGAGCACACTACAGAGCATACGAGCGCACTACAGAGCATACGAGCGCACTACAGAGCATACGAGCGCACTACAGAGCACACGAGCGCACTACAGAGCATACGAGCGCACTACAGAGCATACGAGCGCACTACAGAGCATACGAGCGCACTACAGAGCATACGAGCGCACTACAGAGCATACGAGCGCACTACAGAGCATACGAGCGCACTACAGAGCATACGAGCGCACTACAGAGCATACGAGCGCACTACAGAGCATACGAGCGCACTACAGAGCATACGAGCGCACTACAGAGCATACGAGCGCACTACAGAGCATACGAGCGCACTACAGAGCATACGAGGCGCACTACAGAGCATACGAGCGCACTACAGAGCATACGAGCGCACTACAGAGCACACGAGCGCACTACAGAGCATACGAGCGCACTACAGAGCATACGAGCGCACTACAGAGCATACGAGCGCACTACAGAGCATACGAGCGCACTACAGAGCATACGAGCGCACTACAGAGCATACGAGCAGCACTACAGAGCATACGAGCGCACTACAGAGCATACGAGCGCACTACAGAGCATACGAGCGCACTACAGAGCATACGAGCGCACTACAGAGCATACGAGCGCACTACAGAGCATACGAGCGCACTACAGAGCATACGAGCGCACTACAGAGCATACGAGCGCACTACAGAGCATACGAGCGCACTACAGAGCATACGAGCGCACTACAGAGCATACGAGCGCACTACAGAGCATACGAGCGCACTACAGAGCATACGAGCGCACTACAGAGCATACGAGCGCACTACAGAGCATACGAGCACACTACAGAGCATACGAGCGCACTACAGAGCACACGAGCGCACTACAGAGCATACGAGCGCACTACAGAGCATACGAGCGCACTACAGAGCATACGAGCGCACTACAGAGCATACGAGCGCACTACAGAGCATACGAGCGCACTACAGAGCATACGAGCGCACTACAGAGCATACGAGCGCACTACAGAGCATACGAGCGCACTACAGAGCATACGAGCGCACTACAGAGCATACGAGCGCACTACAGAGCATACGAGCGCACTACAGAGCATACGAGCGCACTACAGAGCATACGAGCGCACTACAGAGCATACGCATGGGCATGGGCATGGGCATGGGCATGGGCATGGAGAGGTGAAACAGGGTTGTGGCGCAGTGTGTTGCAAACACAAAGGGGACCATCTGCCCCTACACAGAGAAGGTACATTCCCCGTCCCAGCAGCACCACTGCAACCATGTCAAACCTCCTGCCTGCAGCCGCTTTGCAACGCACCACTCCTCCCACCGGCACTACCAGGGTTCCCACCTCCCCTCCCACTGGCCGTACCTACCTGCGTCCACATGCAGCAGCAGTCGAAGCTGGTGAGCAGCCACTTGTGTGCGTTGGACGCTAGTGAGTCGGCCAGGTGCACGCCTGCCAGGTGGTGCCGCATCTCAGCACACATACATGCCATGCCTGCGTAAGCTGCATCCACATGCACCCACATGCCATGCGCCTGTGCTTGTGGTTGCAGAGGAGGGAAGATGTGGGGGGGATATAGGGAACGTTCTGATGCAGCTGGGCTTGCGCCCACGTGTGATGTGCTATGGCATGGCATCGCAAGGCATGGATCAGTGTTATGGTGTGGCACGGCATGGCATGGCATGGCATGGGAAAACATGGGAGGAGATGGCATGGCATGGGATAACATGGGTTGGGATGGCACAGGATGGGATGGCATGGGATGGGATGGCATGGCATGGGATGGCATGGGATGGCATGGGATGGCATGGGATGGCATGGCATCATGGCATGTGTTGGCAAGGGATGGGATGGGATGGGATGGGATGGGATGGGATGGGATGGGATGGGATGGGATGGGATGGGATGGGATGGGATGGGATGGCATGGCATGGGATGGCATGTCACGGCATGTCACGGCATGGCATGGTGTGACATGGCATGGCATGGCATGGCATGGCATGGCATGGCATGGCATGGCATGGCATGGCATGGCATGGCATGGCATGGCCTGGCCTGGCGTGGCGTGGCGTGGCGTGGCGTGGCGTGGCGTGGCGTGGCGTGGCGTGGCATGGCGTGGCATGGCGTGGCATGGCGTGGCATGGCATGGCATGGCATGGCATGGCATGGCATGGCATGGCATGGCATGGCATGGCATGGCATGGCATGGCATGGCATGGCATGGCATGGCCTGGCGTGGCGTGGGGATGGCGTGGCATGGCATGGCGTGGCATGGCGTGGCGTGGCGTGGCATGGCATGGCATGGCATGGCATGGCATGGCATGGCATGGCATGGCATGGCATGGCATGGCGTGGCGTGGCATGGCATGGCATGGCATGGCATGGCATGGCGTGGCGTGGCATGGCATGGCATTGCATGGCATGGCATGGCAAGAGCGCATCCCAGAGCTCACCTTTGCAATGGCAGCCAGAGGGGCGATTGGATCCACAGCAGTGGATGACGTGGAGCCAACGGCATGACGTGGCAGAGTAGCAGAACAGTACAGGGCATGGAATAAGTGCGCAGCATTAACTTTCTGGTGAAACGGCAAGCACGGACCGCTGCTGGGTCAGTCCGGGTCAGTCCAGGTCAGTCCAGTCCGGTCCAGGTCAGCCTGGGCGATGGCGGGGAAGATGCGGCAGATGAGATGCCATGCATCGGCGGCGCGCAGAGGTAGTAGTGGAAACAAAAGAACGCTGTCTGCCCCTCTACCGCATGTCTGCCGCATGGTAGAGGGGCAAACATGCGGACACGCACCATCTCAAGTGTGACACGTGCAAGGGGCGTACTGTGACATGCGTGGGGAAAGGATCGAGTTACCTTCAACTACCAGTGAGAGTGGGAAAGAAGGAAGCAACAAACAAGGTACCTTCCACTTACAGTGAGGACGAGGAAGAAGGGAATGAGACCAGCAGCTTCATCCCTCTGCACCGCATCCAACAGCTGGTGGGGAGTGAGAGCATACGCCGATGCAGCAGTGGTGGGCAGCAAACGCACGTTGCCCTCGGGCATGCCTGCCACGCGGCACGCCTTGAGTGCACATGCATGCGTCTGGTCCGACACGTATGCCACTAGGCGCTGTGTTGCCATGTCCTCCGCGCTGCCCCATGGGACCCCAGCAGCCTCTCCCTGCTCACACGCACCAGCAGCAGCCTTGCTGGCAGCAGCCGCCCCACCACTGCTGCTGATAGCCTTACCAGTACCTGCACCAATGCTACTGGTGGTATCAATAACAGAAGCCCCATCGCCACCCCCATCCCCATCGCCTGCAGCATCCGCCTGCCACTCCTCTTGTGTCACCCCCATGCTCCCGCTGCACCCCTGCCTGCCATTCCGTGCTGACACTATCCTCCATATAAGCCTGCTCTCCGCCTCGTTAAGGTGCGTTATCAGCCGCCCCTCTGCCGCTCGTTTCTTCTCCTGAGCACCATGCCTGCTGCCTGCTGCTCCACACTCCCAGCCTGCCCCACAACGCGGTCCAGCACTCTCCCGCCTGGCGGCCAGCAGCGCCACCAGCAGCGCCTCACTGGCCGTGCCGTGAATCACCCCCCCGCCCTGCCCTCCTGCCATGCCAGCCACAGAGACAGTGCCACACACGCAACGGTGTGGGGGGGGAGGAAAGGGAAGATTTTAGTACGCGGGGTGTGCTTGTATTGTACCCTCACCTCCCTCCTTTTTCCTTCATCCAACCATCCCTCCCCTTCCCTCACCTCCCTCCCACCCACCTCCGCCCTTCCCCACTCCCTCTCACCTGACTTCACCGAGTGAAACCCATTGGACAACCCCCTCCAGCCCCGTGGCAGCGGCCCAGGAGAAGCCCACCATGTTGAGGGCGCTGATGAAGGCGTCAGCTGATGCCCTCTCCCCCCCTCACCCCACTCCCTCTCACCTGACTCAACCGAGTGGAACCCCCCCGGCAGCGCCAGGAGATCAGCAAGCCAGTCCATAACGACCCCCTCCAGCTCCGTGGCTGCAGGGGCAGCGGCTGAGGAGAAGGCCACCACGTTGAGCTGAGCGCACTGATGAGGGCGTCGGCTGATGTCCTTTGCCTCCCCCCCCACTCCCTCTCACCTGACTTAACCGAGTGGAACCCCTCTGGCAGCGCCAGGAGAACAGCCAGCCTGCCCCATGGAACCCCTTTGCTTCGAGCTCTGTGGCAGCGGGGGCAGCGGCCCAGGAGAAGCCATGCTGTGTGGTGCTGCCACCCTACCCCTTCTCACCTGACTTCACCGAGAAGAACCCTTCTGGCAGCCCCAACAAGTCCACGATCCAGTCCATCACAACTTCCTCGAGCTCAGTGGCAGCAGGAGCAGCGGTCCAGGAGAAGCCGACGACGTTGAGGGCGCTGATGAGCGCATCAGCACAGATGGCGGCGGCACTGGTGGGCGAGGAGAAGAAGGCGAAGAAGCAAGGGCTCTGCCAGTGTGTTATGCCTGGTAAGATGGCGCTGGATATGTCTACCGTGCATTGCAGCGCGGTGGAGGGAGCAAAGGGGGAGTATGCGGAGACGAGGGGTGGGGAAAGATGAGGCGTGGAGGGAGAGGGGAAGTGGGAGGGAGGAGAGCTATGAGGGAGAAGCAAGCGGCTGTGGCTATGGATTATAAGAGCGATCAATCTTGAGGAGGGTACAGGCAGGGAGGGAGGGCGGTGGACCAGGTGCCTCAAAGGAAGATAGAGAGGAATGCACACAGGTGGGGGCGAGGGGCACAGCGATGGGGGCGGGAGGGAGGGGGGCGTCACCTGAGAGAATGGCTTCCGGTGATTCGCCATGCTCGGGGGCGTGGGTGGGCAGCAGAGGCCGCAGATAGCCGGGCTGTCAGGGTGGAGGGGCGAGCAGTGGGGCCGCGCATGCAGGGCATGGGCAGCGTGGGGTAGTGGGAACAGAGTGATAGAGTGCGGTGCAGCGGGATTGCGAGAAAGGTGGTGCAGGAGAATGGGTGTGCATGGTGTGGTGACAAGTGCTGGTAACAGCGAGAGAGCAGGCCAGGTACATGCTGCTGCAGCACTCACGCGTCCTCTGCCTGCATCCCATTAGAGACTCCTCCACTGCCTGCCCCTTGCTTCCTCACAACCGCCCTCACATACTATGCTGCTGCCGTGGTGCTCTCAGCCGTGTGCACACACACAACAACACATACGTGCGTCCCCGCGCGCACACACACACGCACGCGCGCACACTTGGCTCACCTGCACGCTGCTGCACACGGGTCTGTCCCCCACGCCCTGCAGGTAGTCAGCGATGAACTCCACCATGCGATGGCCCTGCCTGCGCACCTCCTCCGCCTGCAACGCCCTAAATAATGTGCCCTCTGCTCCTGCCCCGCCTGCAATAGCACTGCCTTCCTGCGCTGTCAGCCCGTTACAAGCACCTTCCTGCGCTGTCACCTCGATACAAGCACCTTCCTGCGCTGTCACCTCGTTACAAGCACCTTCCTGCACTGTCAGCCCGTTACAGGCAACTTCAGGAATTCTCAGCCCGTTACAAGCACTTTCCAGCACCTCCGTGTCCTGCTCCCGTGCTGCCACCTCAGCTGCCGCGACCAGGGGCGTCGCCGGGCGACCTTGGCCGGCCATGGCGGGGGGAAAGCGACGGGGTCGCGGGGGCTCGGGGCGGCGCAGGCGGACGCGGGGGGAGCGCGAGGGCGGGGCGAGTCACACTCGTGGCGTTTCTTGCCGCACCACGCCGTCAAGGAGAGGTCGCTATGAACAGTCGCAGCGTGAGTGCGGCGTGGGAGGTGCTATAGTGGTAGCAGTGCTATAGTGGCAGGTCACGGCGGTTCCGCGTGAATTCTGCCTGTCTGTGTGCGCCGCCGGTGATGACGAGCACTAGCGGTACCCTTTCTACTAAGGTCGCGGGAATCACGGCGTGTGATTCGGTGGCGTGCGGCCAATTGTTTATTTGCGGAGGCGTTAATGTGGGAAGGTCTGCATGCTGCTGCGTGTCGAATCGAAACGGAGGGGCGAGGGGCGCGCATCACGCTTGTACTACTCGGCGTAGCACTACGCTCCACGCACCCGCACGGAGTGCCACTGTGTAACGCCTGTGCCAGTGAATGGGTCAGCGAGTGGGTGTCACCCCTCCAAGGCGGTCTCCGCACGCCACGCCATGGCGGCCCTGCTGCGCCACTCGCCGAGTGCTTTAGTACGCCGAGCGAGCGCGGATTCCGGGCCAAGAAGCAGCTTACAGGCGGCTCCGAGGCCTCGCGGCTCGCCGTGCGCCTGCTTGGCTGCTCCGAGCGGTTGATGTCTCGCTGCGCGCCAGTTATTTCCTCCGAATCGCCCGAATTCGCTCGACTGTCGCCCCTCATTGTGGCGCGCTGGAGTGTGCAAGGAAAATCGGCGACTTGGCCGAGCACACCTGGCAGCCTTCCTGGTAAGCAGGGCTTGGCGCAAGGGTTGAGAAACCTGCTGACTTGGCGCGCCACCGTGGGTATCGGGGATGCCACGGTGTAAAACGGAATTGCCCTTCAACGTTCTTGAAAGCAATTCCGACGTGGAAGCACGGTCAGTCGAGGTGGTGCGATCCAACTAGGGTAGTGACAGGTGCGACTCACCACGCGGTTGTTGGGCAACTCAGTGCGGGAAACCTTGTTGGTAAAAGAAAAGGAATTTATTCTGTATGAATTATGCAATGTCGGTGTACATGAGCACGCTTATAACGCGAATAGCTTGATCAAACTTGGCGACTTCCACAGCCAGCGACGGTTGTCAGTCGCACACGCCAGCAACAAAAACTTCGCTGAATTGAGCGACGGTAGGGTACGGTATGTAGTGGTGTACGCAGAGTAACAGACCCGTTTTGAAATGAACTACTAAGGCCATCAGCAGCAGCACCAATTTTGAATCCCTCGCAATCCAAATCCTCTTATCGAGTCACTTCTGCAGACTCGCTCACCTCTTGCCTCCAGCACCAGGAGGTCGTTCTATTTGGCCACCAAAGAGACAGCTTTGTAACAGAGTCGCCTATTCTTAGCCTGATTGTAATAAGGCGCGGCGCGCCAGCAGCGGGACGCAGCGGCCATGGATGACGATTTCGATGATGGAGATTATTACGTCAAGCCGCGCATGCGCCTCGCATCTGAGCCGTTCGTTTCGCCGGAGGACCAGCTCGATCCAGACGCGTCGGTCTCTCGCCCCGTTCTCCTCATCCTCTGCGGATTCGCCGCCGCATTTCTCGCTGCGGGAATCATGACGTCAGGATTCCTCCAATTCGCTCTCATCTGGATCGCGCTCGCCCTCGTTATAGGCCC